GCCCCCCCGCGCCTCGGGTCCGCCCGGCAGACGGGGTTCCGCCGCGACGGCCGCTACGCCGCCATGGCCGGCCACGACATCAACTACATTGCCGTCTCGGGCGCCCTCAGCCTGCTCGGGCGCGCGGGCGACACGCCCCACCCGCCGGCCAACATCCTCGCCGACTTTGCCGGCGGCGGCGCCAACCTCTTCCAGGGCGTCCTGCTGGCGCTGCTCGCGCGCCAGACCACGGGGAGGGGCCAGGTCGTCGAGGCCAACATGGTCGACGGGTCCGCGTACCTCGCCACGTTCCCGCGCCTGGGCCTCAAGTCGGGCGTCGGCGCCCGCGGCCGCGGCAGGAACCTCCTGGACGGCGGGTGCCCGTACTACGAGACGTACGAGACCAAGGACGGCGGGTACTACTCGGTGGGCGCCCTGGAGCCGCACTTCTTCAGCCGGCTCGTCGAGGGGATGGGCCTGGCGGGCCGGGGGCTGGAGGAGAAGCGGTTCGACTTTGACGAGTGGCCGGCCATGCGGGCGCTCTTCGAAAGGACCTTTAGGCAGAGGACGCGCGCCGAGTGGGAGGCCGTCTTTGACGGGACCGACGCGTGTGCCGCCCCCGTGCTGGAGTACCATGAGCTGGAAAGCGATCCTGCCAGGGAGGGGGACCAGCGCCCGTCCGTGACGTTGCGCAGCACGCCGTGCTTGGCCATAAAGCAACGGCCAGCGGGGCAATCTGACCCGGCCACGCACGGCCAAGGAGCGGGTGTTCCTGGGGACGGGTATGAAGGCCAGCCGCTGGCGCCGGGGGACGGTGGCGAACAGGCGTTGGAGAGGTGGCTTGGGTGGAAGAAGGGGAGAGAATACGACGTGCACAAGGGTGCGTATATCCTGACCAAAGGGGGGTCGAAGCTGTAGGATCTGGGGGGAATGGAGCAACAGATACAGCCAAACAAACAATGTATAACCAATACACTTTGCTTCGTGACATCATTCACTGGCGTGGTTCGAGACACCAGTCCCCCAATATAGAACACATTGATTTGCTATTAATAAACGAGTCAAAATGCTCCGTCTAGTCCATACATCCTTTACTCACAAACGCGAGACGCAAAGCGCCACGCACAACATACATACGTTGCTCCCCAAAATAAGATCCGCCTTCTGTATCCCACCTGCAATGACCAGATCCAACCAAAAAAATGGCAACATCAATGATTCATTCTCAGTGACAGAAGGCGACGGGGACAATACTCTGCCTTGAGCTCTCCAATGGGAATCCGCGAATCACACTATCTGATCTACTCTAAGCCTTATAAACCCACCCATGGTATCGAAAAAGAAATAATGAGCGTCGAATCGAGGGCTTGTCCTTGACGTCGAGAAATAGTAACGCTTCAATGCCTGTCCATTACGTTTTCCATCGGCGCCAAGCAAAGTGCAATAACACAAGTATCTGGTCTGCCCGGGGTTGGTCGACTTTATTGGACCTGGCTGACGATTTCACTGGCTTTGCCCAGAGATTCAACCATCTGCTGGCATTCCTTCCGTCTTCGGATTGTGAAGTCGCTCTCTTTCAGCAATTCATCAAGCGTATCGGTTCGGTACATGTTCTCGAGCAGTTCCCGCTGCATTTCATCCTTGGTAAACCTGTACATTGCGAGTCAGTACCTACAACAAAAGTGGAGAAAAAAAAGCTGGTGTACATACTGCACGAGATTAAGCATAATAGCCTTGGGAACCATGTCAATCATGGTGCGCTTAACAATGTTATAATAGGAGGAAATGAGCAGCTCTGTCAAACGGGATCAGTTTCTGTTCGGCGCAAGTGGTCCAGAAAGGACTTACTGATGACTTCCACTTCAATATTCTCTCGCTCAGAAAGGTTGCCAGAGGCTTTCAGTGTGGGCGGAGGAGCTTCCATAGCTGCCGCCTTCTTCTTGTTTTTGGCAGCAAAGAAGCTTCCAAAGAAACCGGCATTGCCAGTGCCATCCACCTCGGGGACCGTGGGACTACCGGCCCGAGCAGGTGTGCTAGACTGTGGCAGAGGCTTGCCAGTCTTGGGGTCGACCTGGACAGGCTTAGAGGGGTTGTATCGCTCGTTGACAATCGCCATGGCCTAAAGTAGGAGGGTTAGAGAAGAACTTCCACATAAAGACAGAGCTCGTAGACTTACGCGGTGGCCGTTCAAGAAATCAGGGTGACCAGTATTGATGTAGCACGACTCCATGGCGACAAGATCGCGCACCAGCTTGTTGGTCGGCTCCATAGCCTTCTTGAAAAAGGCAATGACAACGCCATGCATTTTCTCCTTGAGCTGAGGATATCGTCGGTACAACTGCTTGCCCAGAAGCTGCGACAAGATTCGAACCAGTTCGTCATAGGCGAGGGAGACACACTTTAAGCTAGGATCCTCGAGGCGCTTGATTTGTTGCTTGACAATGAGTTCAAACGCAGTGGTACCGACGAACAGGGCCGGGGATGAACCAGAAGAGTTGTAGAGAATAGTCCGGATATCCACGTCCTTGACGACGTCAAATGGATCCACAGCCTTGACACCGTTCGCGTACAGCTCGTGGAAGACGAAGCTGATACGAGCACCACCCGACAACTCTGTGCTGGAAAGCTCAGTGTTATTGCCGTCTAGAACTGTCCGCCACTCGTTTGTGAATTCGGTAATAATGTTAAGGACAACATTGGCACTGTTTCCAAGCATAGAGGGTCCCAGACTCTCCAGCTCGTTGGTGTACTTTTGTAGAGAGCTAGAAATTCTTGCCTTAATATCGGGCAGTGTCTGTTTGATGTGCATCATGAGAATCATGTTCAACTTGCGTGCCAGGTAGGGAGTTCCGCAGTACGAGCTCTTGTTGCGGTAAGCCTTGTGGTTTTCGAAAAACGCTTTTTCGGCGTCAAGAGCAACGTTGATGGCCTTTTTATTATCGATGTCTCGTTGGCCTCGGTTAACCACGGGGACGTAACCCAGACGCAATGGGATGACACGATTCGAGAGAATATCGATTACATCGGTTCCTTCATCCATCAAATCGACCTTTGTCAAGACGCCAATGGTGCGCTGGCCCTCGGGATCAACTTCACGGGCGAGCTTGAGACCATCTGAATTAGCCAGGTCAATGTTGGCTGCTGTAACAGCCAAAATGATGGCATTCGACTTTCCAATATACTTCAGAACCATCTCTCGAATCTGTCGCTCGATATCGCGGGGTTGGTCTCCGACGGGCACCTTGGTCAGACCCGGTAAATCGACCAGCGTTAGGGTAAGAACATTGGGAGAGTAAATACGCAAGTTGATGGGGGCAGCCGAGATGCCAGCGTTCTTGCCAACCTTTGCCTCCGTCTCACGGGCAATCTCCTCTCTGATCTTGCCAAAGTCGTGATACTTCTGGCCAGGAATGTGCAAAAACTCCCCCCACTCGTCGGCGTTGGCGGCCTTGTCGTTGGCTGTAGAAATCTCGTCGGGCTTGACACCGTTTGTCTGGGCTGGGCGGTTGATGAGCTGCAATACTAATGGACGCCGCGTAACAATGCCAGAACCTCGAGGCAGGCTGTGATAGAGGCGGTTAGTTAGCTCTTGATTGATATCCATCTATGCCACAAAAGGGGCAACGTACAAGTCTCTTCCCACAATATTCTCCAACACCGAACTCTTGCCGCTAGACTGGCTGCCCACTACGACAATCTGAGGCAAGTCGATGGGATTGTTGACGCCGACAGTGGCAAAGACATCTTGGAGTTTATTGACGAGTCTGAGCCCAAAGGTTAGCAACTACATTGTATCCCCTAACACAGGGCCCAACGGCGGTGGGGGCTCACTGGATGAGGGCAGGATCCGAGATGCCACCCGGGGTCGCGAGATTGCCACTCATGATCGCTTCTTTTTAGGTCGCCTCACTACAGCTTACGGCTGTCGGTGGTAGCCTCGTAGGGGGTTGCGATGTGGTGGTGTTGGACGGTGGGAGAAACAGACGCTGTTGTTGAAGTGGCGGTCCGACGATGCGGTGGAGGGGAAACGTCACCACGATGACTTGTGACCAGTTGTTCCGAAACCCGCTCGAGGAAGAGGGCCAGAAGTAATACGATGCCGTTGGGTGTTTTTGTGTCGCGATACGGTGTACTCGATCAACAGAGCGGACGGCGCACGTGGTTGGAGATGGCTTTGTGCTGGAAAATGCAAGGTGTTTATGAAGCTGGATAAGGAGGACTGACAGGGCGACATGTGCTTCTCGAGGCCACGAGCCTGACAAGGGCAGGGAGGCACTAAAAAAGTGTTGCGTCGCTGCCCTAGCGGGGGTCGACGGTGCCACGGGTTGGGCCAGGCCAGTGGACTGAACAGTTGACCCAGTTTGCCCATGCTCCAGAGATGTACTGGGTACTTGCCGCCCTGCGTGGTACGCCACCATCTGCCTCCACGTGCGCAGGTACCCAAAACCTCCCAGCCCCCAACCCAACAATGGCCCGGTCAAGCCACATGTGGCGGGGCAACGGAATCGCGCCCGAAGTGCGCCACGTGACTTGCGTTTGACCGAGGACGGCGCTGGTGTCTGAAAAGAATCTATTCGGCAGCCTAGAGATAACGGCCGGAGAAACGTCACCAAATGATGTGGCCACCGGAATTGATTTCCCTAAAAATATGGTAAGCATGCCCGGCTTGCAAGGTTTAGGCAGCCGCCGCGTTACATGCGCTGCCTAGTGGCTTGGATCTCAATTTCGTTGGGCGGAATTGTTTGGGCAGGGAAACAGTAGGGTTATGAGAGGCTCTCCTCTGACAAAGAAGTGATTCAGAATCGCTATCTTACAAAAAATATGGCGACCAAGGCCGCACTGAAGTCTCAGCAGCATCTCGCTGATAGCTCGGCCATGCCTCTAAGATCCGACCGAGCAAATCGCTCACAAAACACGACCTAATCGCCAGTCCACCACCTCGCGTTTTGGTATAGCGGAGACTTCGTTCTTTGTTCCAACCATCTAGCAGCTGCATCCTCATGAATGTAACGTCATCGTCATGTTCATATGGCGATATCACTAGAAAATGACGTTGTGAGAGAGAGTACAGGTGGCCTTGGGAAGCGATAGCTCAAAGTCAAAGTCTATCAGCCCCGTGAGGCGGCTGGTCTCAGAATCAAAGAGCACATCCCCACGTATCTGAATTCATGAGCTAGAATAGTACTCAACATATACGGGGGGTCTTGTAAATAAAAAAGTCAGCCGACCAGAATATGCGTGGACCAACGTCTGGATAGGGAGAACGGCACCCGCCTCCTAAATGTATGAAAACTTTGCATTCACAAAATTCCTCAACTATCGCGCGGAGTGAATTTATCAACGGATATTTAATCTAGATCATTGAATGCGTAATCTAGCAGGGCCACATAATCTAGGAAGCCCGGCTAGACTAGCTAGCTGAAAACCTTCAGTTAGGGCGTTTCAATTAAAAGGTGGCCTTTTTGATGTCTTCTATTTTCGACTATTACAAAGGCCTCAATTCCCTCGATAGATAGATGCAATCAAGGACCAAGTCCACATTCAATGCGATCCATAGCTTTGAAAATCGGGATAGAATTATTTCTCCAGCCTTGAATGCATCGCTCTAATCCGAATCGCTCGCGTCAGAGGATATCGGGAAATTCGGCGCCTCCTGACGGAACTTTCAGATGAGGCCTCCAAACCAGTCCCACTGGGGCGTAGCTGCCCCTATTGTAAAAACGATCACGGCCCACGGGCCCAATGTCGGATGCGTCAGTTGACCGTAGTCACTAATTTGATCAATATTTCCCCGATGGTATGGGCAAGGTCAAACTCAGAATCCCCATAGGATAGACCACGGTTCTGTCTAATTCTACATCTTTATAGCCGTGACATAAAGATGTGTTCCAAAACGAGCTTCAGTGCTAAGAAACTATAATGAATACGTGAATTGCCCGGCTCGCGGATTCTCGGCCGAATGCGGGTTGACAATGCAGGACCATGTCAAAGCCAATTTCGAGGCCTATAGTGACTGTCTATAAGTTGATTTACAAGATAGATGGAACTAAGTGATGGAGATGTTGGTAGTTGGTTATAAATTGGGTGATCTGCGAGTTTTGGGCAGCTCGGTGAGGTAAGGACGGTTCACTTGTGTCACATCTCGAGGTTTCCCTCCATTTTTTCGTCTGAATACGTTTATCAGACTAGTTTATATTTAACACCCCTGATTTACAAATATGGGGAAGATTTAAGATAGCTATGCAAGCTCCGGAAAAGCATCACAGATGGTTTCGCTCTCGCCCACCACTATGCTATAGGCAATTTCGGCGTACTCCTCGGCAGGTTTGCAGAGCTCAGGTGCAATTTCGATGTATGCCTTGAACAAGTTTGCAAACGCCCACGGCACAAAGTCGTTAACAACACCCCATTTCTCGATATCCAGTCGCTGCGAGGACGCGGTCATCCTAAAATCTAACGCTTCGAAACCCTTTGCAATCATCTCAACCGCATCACTGGGCCTGTCGACCAAGAGCAGATGAGCGCCCAAGGCGAAGTACGGGTTCCAAAGTTCCAGCCGAAGGTGGGCACCGTCTGTTGGTGGGTAAGTAATCTCAAGCTTCTCGAGAAGCAACTTGGCTCGAGAAATGTCGGTCATCACCGGGCCACCGAGGACTTTTTCGAGTTCCTTCACGAGTTTTGTGCGTTGTTTCAGGGCCCCTCTAGTTGTCTTTCGCCTGTCTTCGCATAGCTCGCAAGTGCAAGAGAAACCCCAGTTGCTGAGACCCTTATGAGCCGTTTCATATGATTCATGAGGGACTGGCACTCTGTATGGAAAGGTAATCTCCGTACCAGCCTCGAGGTTCCGAGTCGCACGAACAATCTGCATGTCCCCGATAAAAGAGCGAAGACAGTTGCCGACGCAGGAGTGGTTGATGCGGGAAGCCAGTAGCCAAATGCCACACGTTGTATGACTCCTTTCTTGGCTTTCCCCCGTGGTTGTCTTTTTTAAAAATTTGGAGAACGACGACCGGCTAGTCCTTGGTGCACCGAAAGAGTTCAGAGATATGACTTTTTCCACGAAAAATCTACTAGAAATGAGCAACTAGCCGCGTTTTTTACCTCTCCAGGGGAAAATGAGGCAATGGAGACTTACGAATCAACGACGGGAATCCCGTCAATTTCACAGACTGGAACCGGCTTGTAGTCCCCGTGATGTAGTTCTCTAAATTCAGCCGACAACCGCGGATTGTGATACAACTTTTGTATTACTTGATTGAGGAGGCGAGCTTGACCGCCCACTGTCATCATCTTGGTGCTCAGGTTCATCAGGATTTGACACCGCTCTGTTGTTTCGTCGTCGGCGTAGCTGTACGCGAATGCTTTTTCGCAGAGTAGAAGCTCACCAACAGAGACCGCCGTATTGGTAAAAAGCCCATAACCCCGTCCAGGCGACTTGCGCACTTCCACGACTGCAGCATACGAGGCACAATCGACAAGGGGAGGCGTTTTCTTGGCTTGCTTATACATCTGGTCAAATACATACCGGCCACCCTGTTGCTCGAGCAGCCTTGTCTCGACACGTCTCAGCTCCTGTTCGGCGGCGCTGTTACGAGGATGCGACTCTAGGAGTTGATGCAGCTTTTGCAGGCAACGGTCGAAAAATCCCAGCTCATACAGTGCTCTCGCCTCACGAAAGATGCCCTTTTCTGACGCCTGTCGACTATCACTACCACCCCGGACAGCATCTGACAAGGCACTTTCTAGGCGTCCCAGCCTAAGGTTTGCAAGTGAGCGGTTAAGATGCGCTAGCCGCTCATCTTCAGCTGTTACCGCAGTTTCAATAGCGGAAGTGTATCTAAAAGCGCGTTGGTGAGACGTCTCCTCATGAATACATTACAACAAGTGCACTTACAAGAGTTGTGCTCCAGCCCAATTACTCTTCTCCACTGCTTGATTGCCTTCAAACCGAACGCTTGTACTGTCATTCGAAGTCGATTTCGCTTTCCTCCATTGAGATGGAATATGCTCCTCGGTTCCCTTCAACCAAATGATGTCGCTGACGTGATCGACCCTTAGCGAATACGCGCCGTCAGTGCAGCATTTGAAGAAGGGCTCTTTGAGGATCAAGACGGTTCCAGGCTGTAGCATCTCCGCGGCAGGTACCGCAAGCTCGTCTGGCTGATGATAGAGCTGGAGCAATAAAGCCGTAGCCTCTTCATCTTCAACAATTGCCATGATGGCTGTCATACGCTGTGGTGGTGTGCAGACGCGAACAGCAATCCTAGTGCCGCGGTGATGTGTTTCAAGCTTCATGTCGGATATATTTATCGGTCGAAGCTCGTTGAGTGAGAGACAGCAAGGGGTGTATGGCGCTGGAATTTGTGACGTGGCTATAGTATGTTGCCCGGGCCCTGCTGGACCCAACGATAGGTGTAGCTTCATCATGAACTCCGAAATCAACCAGTCTCGGCGGGGATGATTCTGCACGGCCTCTCCTTTTCTTCGACTTGCTCTGCTCGCTGCATGTTCTGCCTGTCTCATGAGAGCAGCAAAATGGCTGTCGTGTGAAACATCTTGAACGTCCATTTTTGAATTGAAAAGAGGGTTGCTTGTGGAGTACTTGGATAAACTGGCAAAAAAAGAAGAGATCGGAGTCGGAGGTGATTATTATGCTTCAGGATTTCACGCCGTTTGTCCAGCAACATAATCTTGGGCAGCAATGCATCTTCATCGCGGGACCAAACGGCTTCGTTTGATTAACACTCCCCGCCTGTCGTGACACGCCAGCAAAGCCGTTTGCTTTTTTAAATTCACAGCGTTTCATCAAACTCTGGTGGGCATGGTACACAATCACAGTTTTTCGTAGAACATGATGCTCAGTGGCTTGACATCACGCATACTAGGGGGTAAGAACTCAAAAGCGACCAGTGCATTGGATCTGTTCTCGCTGGTTATTGTAGCAACACTACTTGACTTGCTTGATTGACAGAGCAGAGTACCGCTGAGAGGCTTGACTGCAAAAGTGAGGCGGTGCACGTACGGCGGTAACACAAGCCTTCTTCTCCGCCAGACTCATGGTATCACGACATCTTCCAAGCTCTTGCGTGGACCAACAAACACACCGAGGTCATTCGGATACCCGAAAATAGCAAGCCGATTCTCTAGCACAAACAAGTTGCTCTCGGCTCTCGAGTTCTAGATGATACGGGGTGAGTCGGTGGCCGTTATGTGGTGGCAACTGGCTTAGAGCATCATGAATAAGAATAATCGTGGCCTTCTGTAGGTCCGTGTATACTCGGTCCTCGATGGATTAGGGGTGCCAGAAACCTGAGTCAGTATCTCGTATTCGGATATGTAATCGAGGTCGGGCTTCCACACCTTCTTTAAAGCCATGGTATTTCAATGACACCAAATGCCCGTTTGCGGAACAGTGACTGAACCTTGAGGCCAGTGATGATCATGACGGGTTTGCATGCGGTGTCGCCCTCCTCATAGACCAAGCGGCAAGCTTCAAACCGCAGCTGGATCACGCTGGTTAGTTCAATCACACTTTGTAGACGTGCTCCCGGCCTCAGGGTCTTGGCGCGTTGTCAATGTACAGGCTGCGGGCAAATCTGGGAACGGAGAGCCCGAAATTGGACAATAACTCGTCCGCCAAGGTGTTCCAAGCCGCCCTAAAGCAAGTGTCGAGAGTGATTAGATGGAACAAACTCTGCGATTGACCTGGATATGGCATCACGGTTCGTAATGTCAGGCACGGTTACTACTCCTACCGCAAGCCTAGGCCCGGTTCTTAAACTTGCAAGATTCCGGAAATCTGATCCAAATTTAGGCACAATCTTCCTTCCCCATTGGCTTGACTGCAGTGAGGACACTCGTGTCTCACGCGAGAATGGCAACCTTTGGCTGGTCAGAGGTGCCAAGTTTGCCCGTGCAATGTAAGCGTCACTCTTCGCCCAGATCGGTTACGCGAAAAAATCTCAAAATTTCGAAGCGCATTTGTATTCACTAGCTGTGTACTTTTTTCTGAATTGTGAGCTGTAGGTCAATCCCGTCTACATTATCCGGGCCTAGATGGAACAGCACGGGGAGAATGTCCGAAACTCACCTTGGCCATATCAGATGTCAAGTTGAAAAAGTATGCATCCCACAACGACATGTCTTCTTCAAGGAAATATCCTCCGTGGCTATGGATTTACTCTATCAGTACCGAGACACAACCCAAGCATGCACTCTAGAGCAGCGGAGTCGCGCCGCATCATGAATTGGTCATAAACTACTGTTCCATGTTACTCTGGCTGAGGGTGATAAGATATTTGCTTATTCAAACGGCCTGCAGGACATTTCGACCATGTATTCGTCGCACATATGCACAGTTCCCAGAGCTTCTGTCCTTGATCGGCACTCTGAGCAAGTCGAGGGGCCATGCCAACAATGGCAAACGGCTCAGGCTTGCTCGACGCTCGAGACATGTTGTACAAGAGATAAAAAGCGCCTTGACGTTTCCGGCCGCAAAGGAATTGGGGGGCGCGGGATGACAAGGTTGATATGGACGGCTATGAGAGAACCCATATTGATATGATACTTTTCGGGAAGCTCGGGCTTAAACTAAATATACCGTTGTATTAGATGCAAAAAGACTAAAAATAGGCGTTGGAAACCAAGAGCCTTGGCCATGCTTGTGAGTCTCTGCCACATCTCGTTTCTGTAAGAGATACAGAATGCGTCATTAGTTAAACAAAGGACTGGTGCACGCATAAAGAGACAGATTGAGATCGACTTGGTGCCTGCTACCCCGCAGACTGAGCGCAGTGACGGCTTGGCCTGCGCATAGACCTTATTCCCATTGCTTGCTTCCACTCAACCTTGATGCAACTTGATAGCAACATCGGCAACTCCCTAGTCTCCGTCTCGGTCTGGATCCACTTTCAAGATCCGACCAATTGACGCTATTTGTGCATCCGGTTCAATTTCGCGCCCCCAAGTTCCACTTCCGAAATCAGACCGTTGACATTATTCCTGCAACAAAGCTCAACTTCGGCGCCGAAAGGGCCAACTGCGGATGACCACGTCGTTAGTAATTGTGTTTTTGATGGACGAGCTTTGCTTATTCTCGGTGGACAATTACCAATGCTCTGGATTCTCTGTAATCTCGGTGTACGCAAGGATTGTTTGTGGCAATGCTGGGCCAATCAACACTGTCTGTCTCTCCTCGAGCCCGGATTATGGGATAGCATAAAATGTATGGCAGATGACCGACTTTCCCAATTTCCGACAACCAAATCTCCTCTTCAAAATTCTTTTAGTGCTACTGCTTGCGTATCTCATACCATCGATGACCTGCGCTATCATGCGTATTACACTGGCCCTCGCTGTTGTCCTTGCTGGCACAGTCGCCCAGGCTGCGTCAACACTCTTCTGGGGCGGTACCATTATTGCATTTGACAGTGACAATGAATCCCTCAAGGTGATCAGAAACGGCTCCCTTCTCGTGGTGAATGACCGCATTGCTGCCATTCATGATCATTCACAACAACCCTACGAGGTGCCAGCAGACACAGTCAAGATAGATGTCACCGGCCAGATCATCACGCCAGGGTTCATTGATACCCATCGCCATAGCTGGCAGACGGCATACAAGACTATTGGATCCAACACCACGCTTCTTGAATACTTCTCTCGGTACGGCGAGTTTGCCGCCGCATCCAGCTACCGGCCGGAAGACGTCTACTTGGGCCAGCTGATGGGGCTCTATGAAGCCTTGGACGGCGGCGTGACGACTCTTCTGGACCATGCCCACCACACATGGTCAAACGCGACGGCCTATGCTGGCCTAAACGCAAGTGTAGAAAGCGGAGCTCGTGTTTTCTGGTCTTACGCGTTTCATAACATCCCCAGCCTCAACTATACTATCCCAGAGCAGATACCCAACTTTCGCGAGATCGCTGAGAGTAACGTCCTTGACAATACAACGACAGAACTCGGCATTGCCTTTGACTTTTGGGGTCCCGACCCGGATGTCGCCGTGGTTCAGCAGATTGTTAACCTCGCTCACCAGTATAATGTCTCGGTGGTAACAACACACTGCCTTAGTGGTCCTTGGGGCAATAACAACCTGCCCGAAGATGTTCAACGGTTTGATATGCTCAACGGCACGATTCCCATTGTCTTCTCGCACGCAAGTTTTATTACGGCGCAAGGTGCGGAGCTTCTCCGTTCTACAAACCAATACGTCTCCATTACCCCCGAGTCAGAGATGCACTATGGCCACACTCACCCGCACTCCTACGTACTTCAAGACCAGGCTGCTCTCGGTGTCGATACACACTTTACATACTCTGGCGATATTCTCACCCAGGCCCGTCTGTGGCTGCAGTCGGTGAGATACTACTTTTCGTGGGGTGTTTTGCAGGACTGGGGCTTGCCGTCTCGGAACCCAATGAGTGTCGACCAGGCATTCAAGCTGGCCACTCGCGCGGGAGGGCTTGCGCTGCGAAGACCCGACCTGGGTGTCATCCAAGTCGGCGCCAAGGCAGATGTTGTGGTTTGGAACGCACGCAAGTCTCTGTCAATGGTGGGATGGGTAGACCCTGTCGCGGCGGTGATTCTCCACGCGAATGCAGGCGACGTCTTGGACGTCATGGTGGATGGAAAGTTTGTCAAGCGACATGGAGAAATCGTAGCCAAGCATTATCAGGCTACCCGCGCCAGGTTCTTGTCCAGCGCCCGCAGGATCCAGCAGACATGGCGAGAGAGGCCGTATCCCCATTTCGAGGGCGAATCCGCAGACGGATTTCCCTACAAGGCACCTACCATTGCGGACACGAGCCGAGGCGACGGGGACGGATACGGAGAGCTGTTTGTCAACTAGTTGCAGGCGCTTGCAGTTGTCAAGTTATGAGACTTGTTTTTCAACCGTCAACGAGTGAGTCGCCGGGTCATCATTTGGTCCTTGCAAGCCATTCGGTCCGAGTTAGCTTTTAAGCGAGAATACGAAGCTAGCTAGCTCACCTCAAATACTGAAAAGGAGCCTCAGTTCCGCAGCTAGATAGATTCAATCAAGGACCAATTTTGCCATCATTCAGCCCACGGCTGGATTTTGTGACATTAACTTAGCTCTTTTTGTTTGCCAAGGTATTGTTCTTGGTGTTCTTGTTCTTTCTCTATCCCGCAGAAGGCCTCATGTGACAAAAAGGACGCGCTCGGATATATCCGCTGTCATTTCATGTCATTTGTCGTTATTTACACCGCTTCCCAGACTTACAAACTACATGTACGACTTTACGACAAACAGCATTTACATGGTCTGCTGATTCAATCAACAGAAGCAGCCTTATCTAACAAGGCAAGTTGGGATTCACAATGGCATTCATCTCGAAATTATGTAATTCTCCGAGGCCGTGGACCCGGTCATGCGGGGTATCAGAATAAACTTCGATGCTGCGAGGTTGCCAATCATAATTCGCCCAGGCTATCCCTTTGAGTGTGCGCAGGTGCCATTTTGGTAACGACTAAGGATGTTAACCAATTAAAGACATGAGATTAAAAGATACTTAAGTCACCTAAGAATATATATGGTAAATAAAGTGCCTTATATACTAAAAGTTACAAGCATATATGTGGCTACCCTGTTATAAATGATGTACTTAGCAAGTACTAGAGAAAAGTGGAGTATATACATAACAGGCACCTGCGCACACTCAAAGGGATACGGAGTAGTCTCGCGCAAGTACGGAGTACTCCGTAGGGCATCATCTAACCGAGAAAAGCCACATGCAAGTGGGGCCACCGCGCTCGTACCCGAAATCGACCGCGCCCCGACATCGAGCAATTCACAGAATGTTGCACTTGACCCCTTTTATCCGTGTTCGGCTATGGCGTTCAACGAAATCCGTCCGAAATATCACAATAGAATCAAGTTAGTCCACACTTCAATCGGGACTATAGCCGAACCGTCACCCAATATTGCGATTGGGCCACGCTTATCCAAACCCTTTGATTTTCTGTGGTTGCCTAGGGATTCGGAATCCGCCCGATATCAAAAGTTCGCTCCGCATCGGCGAGATTATACCGTGTTGCTAGGGGGAAATGGAGTCTCATGGCCAGCTATTATCTAGCTTATCTTGCTACACATGCAAAAGGTACGTCATACTCATAATGCTTTTATATGGCCCGTGTGCTAATCACGTCATCTCCCTATTCTAGGAGAAAGGTCAAGTGGTTAGTGTGACTCGTGCCCCAACATGTGTGTTTCGATCAAGCTGCTTATTTGTCTTGCTGTAGTAATCGGGGTTTGCCTAGTTGTTCTCTCTGTGTCAAGTATGAAGAAACTTGCGAGTATCCGACTAGGCCGAAGCGCCCTGGCCCAAAACTTGGTCAGTAGAAATAATAGACGCGGGCGAACATTGATCTGACCATGCCCAAGGAAGTACGCAAAAGAAAAGGCGAGTTATCCCCACCGCCGGCTGGCCATCAGCTGCCGTCAACTCGTCGTCGGTGAACACGACGACATCTGGCACTGCGGACCGTTCCCCGGAGATACAGGGAATCGACCCCAACTCGGCGTCTTCACATCAACACTATGATTTACGATCCAGGCATGCTCGCCGCCTATCATCATGGCCCGCTGATAACTCCGATTTACTTGGTCCAAACTCAGTCTCCAGTTCAAAACGTAACCAGCCCAACCGCCGAGCAGTTTCTCCTGCACCAGACTTTGACAGAATGATGTACCCATCTCACGAGACTCAAACTCGGCCTCCAACACCATCTCAATCACACGATGGCAGAGATCAACCTGCTATCGTTCCAGGAATAACGGTGGATACAGTATGCAAAGGTCTAGGAATCTCTAGGAATGTGTACACGTATCTGTAAGTCTGGCTGGTGTTCATGATGATAAAGACTGCATCAGCTAAGCATGACCAGAATAAAGGCATATTTCAGCAACATGACAACCTTTACACTGTTTAAACCTCATGGAATTGAGGCCAAGTTTGCCTTGATGCGGTCTCCTATAGAAGCCGAGGCCTTGGTGGCGACAATATTTGCATTCTCTGCGAGGTTCCATCCCTCTGACAGGGACCCCAGTCGGATAACTCAATGCCCAACACCTTCATACTTTGCAGCTATTGCCTCGAGGCGATTACAAGACGCCTTGGACGCATATGAAGACACAACACCTCCCTTGCACCTCCTGCAAGCCACCATTCTCGATGTCTTCTACAACATCTGCAAGAGTATACGATCTAAATCTTGGAGATATTTAGGCCAAGCGATCCGACTTGGCTATGATTTGAAATTACATCTGCTGGATATCCACTCCGAGGACTCGGGTGGCGAGAAGGCAGAGGGCGATCTGAAGCGATGGTCATTGTTGGAGGAACGTCGCAGGGCTTGGTGGGCTCTATGGGAGATGGACGTGTTCGCCAGCACAATTCGCCGACTACCGTTAGCAATTGACTGGACACAAAATTTCACATTCCTTCCAGTCCCAGACGAATGTTGGTTCGAGGGGGTCTACAAGCAAAGTTGCCTCTTGATGCCAGACCCAGGTCAACGCTGGAAAAACTTATCTCGAGTCGCCAACACCAGCGCAAAGGCGTGGTACATAGTCGTCAACTCCCTCGTGTATGATGCGCAGCCACTTGTGTACAGCCCTCTACCAGTGAGTGAATCGTCATCATTCGGATCCAAGAAGGACAGCCTGGCCATTATTGCCAATGCTCTCTATTGCACGACATCCTCAATGCCCCGGGAGCTCGTCTACGAAGGACAAGCGTTGGACTTCCGTACCAAGGCATGTCCTCGAGACATCAACTGTCGACAATTTCACGCCGACATTTACTCCATTTACCTCATAACCCAGCTTGTGCACTTCATGAGTGACCATCACAATGTTTGCACCAAGATAGCAGCTGCAGCCCGAGCTCACGCGACTACTGCGTCCAGATCCAGCGACTCACCATCGTGGTCCAACTACATGACGGCTGCCGAAAATGTCGTCGCCATCATCCGCAACAGCTCACACAATCATGTAAAATACGTCAATCCGCTCTTTACCAACACGTTGTGGTTTGCAGCCGCGTCGCAAATAGCATGCAAGGTTGTTGGGCCGTCCAGCCGTGCTGAAGCACTGGCCGCTTCAAACTATGACCTGCTGGAGCTTACTATACAGAGGTACACTTCTTTTTGGGGCAGTAATGACATCCTGAAGCCGCGAATAGATATGATAGAGACTGAACTGAGGAACTTGGTGGCCAAGAACCTTCACGGCGCGGCAAACGGGGAGGAGACTTTCGGCACAGAGGACTCGGGCGCTGCTGGAGCAAACTATGTAGGGACTAACCCGCCGCCCGGTCAGCCTCAAGTCAATAGCATGTCATTTCACGAAGGTGGATTGGTTGGAGCCCAAGGGGCGTCGACGGACGCCGTTCAGATGCCCTTTGTGCCGTTGTTTCCGTCGGGGGACGACTCACATGGTGTATCGCAGCAAATGGTGTTTGATAACTTGGAACACTTTTTGCCGTATGGCTTGGACGAGCTGTGGAAATTGTAAAGCTGCACGTGTTAGGCTTGTGCTTTAGGCAGAGCGGGATAAAAATTGGTGGCCGAGTACAGTGAATACGGCATGTTGGCAAGCAATAAGTTGACGACTGTAGCTTCTCGCTCTACATTTTTAATGTAATATTTAATGCATCCATTGTCAATATCATGGAGCTCGTTCAATTGAAGCCCCCAAAAGCCTCCCCAATGACCTCTCTTACCGCTGTGTAAATTGCTGTTGTATTTCCAACAATAACAGTGCCCCTGTTGATGAAACACGCACCCGTTTTGCTGCCCGGGTGGCAAGTTTTAACCAGGAGCGACAAGTCTATTATAGATTCATATCAAGGAACTAGCGCAGAAACCTAAAATGAAGCGGCATAGATTTAGTAGAATATTATATAAAGCCTTGGATAATACCCTAGCTACGCCCCAGTTACAAAGTAAAGCCTCAGTATAAAATGGAGACTGTCAACGGAATACACGAGCCAACAACGGCAATTCGTCCCCGTGTAGATCGCCGATCTCTCCGCGCGAGGCCATGTGCTGCGCATGGGCCCGGCGGCACCAGAACGGCGGATGTCAGGCATCACCCGCAAGTTGCAACCCTGGGCTGTTTTCAGATTTATTACGAAAACAATGATAGCACCGGCTCCATCACGAGTCTCGTCACCCGAGCCGCGAACTTCCCTGCAACAAGTGTATATGGCGTTGCAACCAAGTTCAGTGGTCATGATAAAAGTTGCCATTGGCCAAAAGTAGTCTATTACATGGTATCGCTAAATCCAAAAGCCCCGTCTCTCTTCATGCAAAAAACCCCAGTCCATCCATCACCATAGCTGGTCGGCATCCTTGACCAGCGAAAACTTTCTGTTCTTGCGCGCCATCTTTCCAGCCCGCTTCCGCTCTTCTGCCGTGACCAGCCAAGACTCGACGACTTGGCAGGTCGCAAACGGCTGGCAGGACGAGTACTTGACCGAAGCGGGGGAATCCGGACCGGCGCTCGGGTCCAAGGCCTTGGGCCGTGATGCCGACGAGGCGGCCCTGCTGCTGCCGTAGATGCTGCCGAGCACGCGGGCCGGCGACAGCGACGGCACCCTGCGCTGAACTTGGTCCATGAAATGGGAAATCCTGGCGCCCGTGACCGTGAATTTTGAGGCGCGAGTCGACGAGGGCGCTTCTCGCCGAGCGTGTTGGTGGCTCTGCTCAGATTGTAACCGGCTCATGGCCTCGTCGTTGCCTTTCAAGACGATTGATTGTTCACGATGCTTGCCGAAGCAGCATCCCCCGAAAATGCAGAATTGGGTCAATACAGAAAAGCGGCTGTTGCGGACCAACTAGATTCACCGAGATGGTATCTCGAAAGGGGATAGAAAAGGGCAGTCTTGTTCTTGTCAAACTCGCGGTCGGCGGGCATATATATCAAGCTGGTCCGTCAAAGGCTGCATGTGCCCTTTCGGGTCAAGTGTACTCTGGCACATGGGGTTTGAAACCAGCAAAAACGGCCGGGCGAGCACAGCCCTCCTCCCCGGTATATCGTGCTGCGGATGGACTTGCATCCGCCTGGTGAAACCGTGGTGGGAAAGGAAGCCCCCCCTCCTCGGTCGACTGAGATGGTAGCCCTCAGAGTTGGGGTTTATATCATGTGGGAGCTTGGATCCAAGGGCCCCGCCGGATTTGTTGAGTCTTGGCGATGGGCAGAATTGATGCTCAGCCTGGGCCTTTTGAACGCATCGTAGACTGCCTCGACGTCGATCCGGGAAGAAGCTATTTTTCCAGGGATGTTGCATCCAATCAGGCCCATCCGAGGCCAAGGATGGCAGCTCGAGTCATTTTCCAAGGCATAAAAACTTGTGCCTTGGTGATGTAATAGTCTATACGGCGGCAATGCTCGTGGGCAAAAGGTCAACGGTCTGGTCTGGCATGCAGATGGTCTAACCAGACTCGTCTACATGTCACTGATTGGGCAACTGCACACGGCCACGTCCTGCCTATTTGGGACGTAGCGATCGCCTCATCCTAGCCAGGACTTATGCGCTGACTCGCCGGGCAGTCGCTCTGACTCTGCGCACCCGGTGGTTATACCTGTCAGTGTGCAATTCCTGCTGGCCCATTGTCAGTCAAGGTACATTAGTACCGACGACGTGTAAAAAGTTCGACCGAATCTTATGCTATGGGCCCAACTCTCTTGCTTCGGGGTTTGGTATCCCGAGAGCGTGTGCATCTGACAGATCTTTGGGCCGCTTTCCCCTTGGGGTATAGCCATCTCATAGTCTTTTTTTTCGGGAGGGGATTTGGGGGGCACAACACCTGGATTGAATTTATCGCTTATTATGCCAAGGCGTGCCGGACCGTCAAGAGGAAGACTTACAATTAAAAGTAGCCTGTCCGAGACGACGTGCTTGATCACGAAATGTAGCTTGTTCGAGTAGTGTACGTTTGGCAATGCCGAGAGCGGTCTGTGCAAACTGCGTCATCACCTGCGGGTGTTTGCAAAGGATTTCCTGTCTGGCCTCGGATCACTCCATCTTCACATCCGGACAATGGGGTTCCGTCGACTGCTCGCCACGCGCCATTTTGCCTCGCCAGAACTTTAAGAACTGCCGAGATATATCGTCTGCGTGTACGTGCTCTCCATCAATGCTCCACCCATAGAGGTTCTCTAATGGCAGCTCAGTCGCGGTGCAATCAAGTGCTACCGTACCTGGCTGGAGACCATCATGGGCCGCAAAACGTCATGTCGAGTATCCTATTCGTGTCTTGTTAATTTTGAGACTCATCGGCATTATCCCTAAGCGCGACCACCCATTCCATTCCATAGCTCCCATCCGTAGCATCACAGCATGCCACGCATGGGTCCAACAAGCCACAGCAGCCGGGAAACTCGCTCCATTCTCCGAAAAGAAGATGACGTTTGGTCGCCCCAGGCACTGCGTTTCATAGTCCGGATCCTGTAATCTTTTTTTTTTTTTTGGTTAATTCGAAAAGACTACCAAGCGACAGCAAGCCTGTGAAAATTCTCATAGCCAAAGAAAACATGATACCGTGTGGTCCGGAGCACAGCCCAAGGTTCGAAACGCACAAGTCTGTGCTGTGACAATTCACCAACCGTCGACGAGCATCTCCCGAAGACAACAATCAAGGTCCCCACATAATATTGGAATCCAACGTCCCCGAATGGGGGGGTTGAAATTGGAGTCACAACTCTTGGGAAGCTCGCGTCCGTCTGGCGGGGAGAATATCAACCGAAAACAAGGGGAAGGGTTGAATGGTGCTATTTTCGCAACAATTCAGGGGTGAGAATGCCAGGCCAATTAAATTCAAAGCTTCCTGTGCCTTTTCAAAACACACCATCTCTATAAATAGTTGTCTGGGGCACGGGAATATAGTAAATGAGTCTATATAGTGAACAAAACCGCATACTACTCATGGAGCGGATTTGGGCTTAAGCCCTACACTAGGTTTAGACTCCCAATTCGATTGAGCTAAAACTACCCAGATACCTCGTTCCCTTCTAGATAAAGCATTTGGATTCTCGCTTACTGGGATCATGTATAAGACCCTGATGTCAATGAGAAAATTGCCCTAGGGATAAGCAAAGCGGAGAGAGCTAGAGACTGCAGTTTATCCCCAGGTGCCTTTTAGGGGCCCTTCGGAGACACTTCCGGGGATTATTACTATGAATTCGAGCTCTTTAAAGCTTCTTGTTAAATTGAAGCCCGTTGAAGCTGCTTGTTAAATTAAGCTTCGCGATGCTGCAAATGCAATTCTGTAAACACTATAATCCTTCTTTTTTTTCAATTGATTACGTATTTTCCCTTTACTTGATTAAAAGCTTAATAATACCTGTATTATATATGAGATTAAAGAGGTAAAATGGAAGCTTGCCCACGTTTGGTATTCACTATTCACTCACTCGGCCACTTTTATATTCGCTTGACCGAACTATACAGTATATCACGGTTCTTTAGCTTAATACAGCTGATATATAGTGTTACTAGATATACTACTTGTACAATATCTAGACGTGCAATATCAAGTTTCTTATACGGCGGTTAGCAGTAGCTCTAGTCGACAAGACGACATGAGCCTGACAGTATCCGCGATGCTAGGCGCCGAAATGGACATATGGGACCCAGTACAGCGGCGCCTCCTCACATAATTCCGCGTCTCTCGGATATCTGACTGTACCTTGGCCTGAACGCGCCCGTTCCGTCACGGTCGGAGCGCCTCTAGCTGCTCTGGCTGCGTTGTCCGAAACCCACGACTCACGAAGTTTGATGGTTGCGTGGTGAAGGCCCTCACTGACAGAGTCGTCGGCCATGTTTCGTTGCTGCACCCACTCATACGTCATGTTTGCCGCCTCGACACAAGACTTGTCGTTGACCTCCCACAGGGTCCCAATAACGTGCCGGAAACCAGCAGCTTGATATGCGGCCATCAGATGAAGCGCCTCGTTCATGAGATTGTCATTGTTGATTTGACCGGTTCCGCAGGCGGAGAGGTAGGCAAGGAACGGCTTGCGGTTGTGGAGGTTGGTTTCGAACAGGTCTGCTACTGCGAGCGGCCCGCCGCGCAGAAGTAAAGAGCTTCTCGACGGATCGTCCGGGTCGGTCTTTCCGTGGCCGGCAAAGTGGAATATGTCGCAGTCGTTCAGGGCGGCCAGGACGTCTTGTCGGCAGGGCCGAGGCTTGCATACTTGCAACCGCAGGGAGCTGCAAAGGCGCTCGAGCTTGGCCATCTCCAGTGGCACAAATGGAAGATGGTTATGGCCCGGTGTCGTTTCCATACTGACCAGCACAGCTTTGCCTTTCCCTCGTTCCTTTGGGAGAGTGGCGCTTTCCTGACGGCTTTGCACGAGCGCCCTGACGGAGGAGCTGTAGGATGAGATGACGCGGTCCAGGACAGTGTCGGTGCCGCGGGAATGATAGCCTGCTGCGTGGATGGGAAACTTGGCCAGGGGCCCGGTGAGAATCCACCACATCCGGGGCAAGCAACCATCGTCAGGCGTCTGGGTGAATCCCAGCGCGTCGAGGACTGGCTTGGCGATCCTGTCCCACAGCCACTCTAGCAAATGCGTGTCCAGCGACTCTGGTTCCGCCAAGGCCGCTGCACGGTTTTCAATGACGAGGTCGCTTACATGGAGGAGCTTTATAGACCTGATTTGGTGTTTCTCGATGATCAACGCATCGGTCCGGTGAAAGCTGGCGTTGACGATGACGACCGGTCCTGAGGCGGCGGCTTCTTTGAGTTCGTCTTCGGACGGGGCCATGAGAAATCGGTCAAAGCCGGGCAGTTTCCGGATGGCCTGGATCGTCTTGTCCAGCTTCTGGCCCGCACCGTGGCGTCGGCTGACTTGGAGCCTTGCCGCTGTCCCCAGGCCGAGTTGGTCGACTGGGCGGGTTGAAGTATTGAGTTGGTCCCGAAGCTCAACGTATTCTTCCGCCAGCTGAGCATGTTTCTGCACAAGCTCAGAGATGTCGGCGCGCATTTCGTTTAGGGAACCTATAATCACCCCTCGGCCAAGTTCAAGAAGCTGCACGGCCTCATATGGTGATTTCCCCATCGTCAAGGCGATTGCGGCCGCATTGGAAGCGAGGCCACTAACTTCAGTGACGGTGAGCAAGTATTGCTTGTCCGAGTTCTCAAGAAAGCGAGGTGTGAGGAGAGGTATGAGAGATACTGCGTCAGAGGCGGCTCGGGAGGCCAATTCCCAGTCTCCGGATACAAGGCACAATGTAAGTAACTCGGCACTGCACCTCAACCGATCCTCGATATGAGAGGGCACGTGGTAGAGGCCATCCTTGTATTGCTGAATGGCCAAGTCTCTATCTGGCTCCGCTCCTATGTCTCCCCCTATGCTCAGGAATCTGTCATGGTACCCTCCGGCGAGAGAAAAATGCCGGCGTGCCCGAGATGGATCATCCTCTGACGTTATATTGATAGCAGCTTCAAAACATTGAATAGCTTCGTTTAGATCTGTCTTATCTTGATTTCGGTGATGTAGGTCTAGGTATACTGATCCAAGACTGTGAAGCCGTTCTGCTCGTTGTGGATCATTTTCCGGTGTACTATCAATAGCTTCTTTCAGATACTGGAGGGCTATATTTATGTTTACCACATCTCTTGTTAGGTGAAATCGGCCTTGATATCCCAATCCAAGGCTATGAAGCCGCTCTGCTCGGTCTGGGTCGTTCTCTGGCGTCATCTTAGCAGCTTCTTCAAGATATTGGAGAGCTGCGCATAGATCTGCTTTATATTTTCTTCGCCAAAATCGGCACAAGTATGCTATCCCAAGAGTTTCAAGCCAGTCTGCAGGGTCTGCATGGTCTTCTGGCATGATATTAACCGCTTGTTGAAAATAATGGAGGGCCATGTCTAGATCTGCTTCACCTCTCCATCGTTCATATCGGTCTTGGTAGCCTAATCCAAGATGATGAAGCCGACCTGCTCGTTCCGGATCGTCTTCTGGCGTTATATTGACAGCTTCTTGAAGATATTGGAAGCCTTTATCTAGATCTGCTTCTTCTCCCTCTTGGAAGAATCGGTCTTGGTGTATTAATCCGAGAGTCTCGAGTCGTTCTGCCCGGTCCTCATAGTCTTCTGGCGTTATACTTAGAGCTTCTTGAAAATGTTGGAGAGCCATGTTTAGGTCTGCCATGGAGTCACTCTGGCCAAATCGGTCGTAGTATTCTGATCCAATATAGTAAAGCCACTCTACTCGTGTTGGATCGTTCTCTGCCAATACATTGTCGACAGTTTCTCGAAGCAGAGGGAGGTCTGCGGCGAGATCCGCCATCGTCTAGAAATCAGGATATAATGCGGCCTTTGCCTTGTTTTTCTTGTTCATCGGGGAAAGGCCATTGCTGAAGCGATTTGGCCAAAACGACAAGGAACAGTTGAGGCCTCTGTACCTCTTCTGCTGCCAGTAGAAACGTCTGGTCTCTGTGTCTGACGTGAGGAGAGATTGAGGCTCTCGATTGACGGGTGCAACGATTTTCCAGCTGACGCGGCGATGCAAGGTAGATTGCGTCCTAAGTCTAATGTTTATCACAAAGACCAATTGTGACACCCTGTTAGTTCATCTGTGACTGACTGCTGAAAGCTACAGGAGGCCGTTGTCCTGAGTCGCTGCCTCCGCGTCACCTGCTGGCACCAGTTCTGGTTCGTCCAAGGTGCCACGCGAGGCACCAGAGTTGTTTAACTTGACCACTTTGTTTCTGTGGTCACTTTGTTTCTGTGGTTCGCCTCGGAGACGTCAAAGTAAGTCACGTACGCCGTCATCTCTGGCTCCAATACGAGGAACAGCAAGGGCTTTCGACCGAGGGGGCCAATATTAGTGGCATAGCCATGTAAGACAAATTGCTGCCTGATTACAGCGTGACCCTACCAATGGCACACTAATTGGGGCGTCTGCTCGATATGTGTCAGCCGAGATGCGTGACATGGCTCAAAGATGACATGGCTGGCACCTGGGAACTTTTCCCGACATTGGGAGGCAATGCCGCCCAGCTTGGACTGCTGGCCGCCAATCGGTTCGCAAGGCGCGATATCTGACCTGCCTGTTTCTGCGGGACGGCCGTTGAAGCATCATTATTCACAGCAGGAGCGCAGGGCTGCCGTGACAGCGAACATAGAACACACTCTCGACCAGGCGGTGTCTGGGGTGTGCCAACATAGGAACGCCACGGCACAGCTCATCGTGATTTCTCACGCGCCTGGTGTTTGGAGCCGCGCGAGACGACGCAAACAAGACAAATGAGCCTTTTTGCCGCCGTGTGGAAATCGGGAAGTTGGTGGTGGCCTGTCTATGAGTTGACGATCACGAGCACGAAGAATATATTGCCCGAGTATAACGTTTCGCTCCAAGTATTCAGGTGATATTGACCGGGCTGCAGGAGCAAACAGGTAGCCTAACTACTTCTCATGAGACTTCTCAGGACGAATTGCTTGCCCTCCTCCCAGGGCGAAGTCTAGACGCAAGCTTGAGGCATGGACTATTTCCCCCAGCCCTTCTGCGTATTCCCGGTGCCGCTGAAACTTGGCCCATTATACCCTGTACGTTTGGTAATGGCCGAAGCAATCCCTTTACCAACTGCTTGCACAATTTTGCCAGCTTTGGCATTTACACGTTGCTCCGCGTTCTGATGGCGGCATGGAAGGCACGCAGGAGAACCGCTACCATGAACCAGGTTAGCCTTTTATAAATCTTGTCACGGTTAGTTGAGAAATACCTACTGTATACAATTCATATTTTGGTGAGATTGTATTCTTGACTTCAAGCCGTGCTAAGATTCGAGGTATTGACCGTGGTAGCTTTAAAGAGTAGGTTTCTTGAGGGGAGAATATCCAAGTTGAATGTCTCGTTTCCCGACATCCTTTGGCTGCTTTTGACGGTGTCCATGTCGCCAATATGTAAGCTTCAAAGCTGTCCACATCACCGATGTGCAAGGCAACCAATGCGCCGAGATGCAAAGCAAGAATTGGATCATATGTGCCTTCTTACAACAGCATGTCTCACTCAGCTACACCATTCGCATCACGATATGTTAGACGGGCACACCTGCTGCGTCTGCCATCAAATAGCACCTCATAGCTCCGCGACTGAAACATCAGGCTGGGCCTCTACACTACATGTATGCCCAACGCGTCCTGCCCGAGCCGAAAAGTTGACATTGATGCTTACCACACCTCCATCTGCCCCGCAGTCTTGTCTCTCAACTATTTGATGCCTCATTCTCACCATGATCACGGCACTCCCTTGATGGAATCGGGCTTGCCCATGACCCCCTGCGGCTGCCCCTTGGTGACCACTACTGCTGTCCGCTACTGACGCCAACGTTGCAATACACTGCTACCGGACAGACCCAATGATGACAGTAGCATATCTAGTCGGTGGTATTGGCCAGGTTAGCCAAGACATGTCATGTGGGGGATACAAGGACAACTTACGTCGCTCCTAGGAGAATGAGCTTCATCGTCTTCGATTTGGTCAGTACAGAGAGTATAATGAGGAAAATAACCGTAGATGCTGCGACCACGACGATACGCCCCGAGGTCGTGCTGACCATGTTGCAGATCACAACCGGCCCCAGCAACAGAATGGTTGTGAAGAGCAATACCAGTGCTCTTGCAGCGTGTTGAATCTGCGCGCCGGAATCGATGTAGACGTTGGGGTCCTTGGAAACGTTGCGAGCGCGGCTCTGTGCCAATGGTCAGCCTGCTCTGATGCCCTCACGCCCGTCCTTGCCTCTTGGAAACTCGGCCAGAGCCGAATCATCTTGTCCTCTACCCATGCTTCAAGCTGCACCATGGCGCTGTCGCCCACCGGAGCCAGGGACACCAGCTCAGGACGGTGTCCTAGATACGCAGTCTCCTCTCGGGCCAGACAGCCGGTGCCTTGAAGCCAATTCTGCAGGCTCTCGACGTCTCTTGGCTGAGGAGGGCCGAAATGTAGTATCCGGCTCGTTCTCTCGATGAACTGGTCTATATTTTTTTTTTTTTTTTTCGTCAAGGGCCGGTTCAAGCTGCACCATGGCGCTGTCGCCCACCGGAGCCAGGGACACCAGCTCAGGACGGTGTCCTAGATACGCAGTCTCCTCTCGGGCCAGACAGCCGGTGCCTTGAAGCCAATTCTGCAGGCTCTCGACGTCTCTTGGCTGAGGAGGGCCGAAATGTAGTATCCGGCTCGTTCTCTCGATGAACTGGTCTATATTTTTTTTTTTTTTTTCCGTCAGAGGCCGTGGTACATTGTAGGCGTTTTGCCTTACCATAATCAGCAAGCTGGGTATCAATCTCCGATAGTAGAGCTATCCGTTGCGCATTCCCATCGCATCGATTTTTCCCAAGGAAAAGGGGAGAGGTCTCTTCGCAATCCACCTGTTCAAGCTTCTCCTCGAGCATGGACAGCTTGTCCTGCTTTTGCAAAAGGAGTCGAGCTCGAAGCTTGTCAAAACGTCGGCACAAAAAGTAGCCATCATATGCCGAGATGAGTGCCGTGAAACGGGGGTATCCAGGCCTGTAGTCCTCGATTAGGCGTGTTATCTGTCGGAGCGCCGTCGACGTTGCACCTGCGACGGCGGATCCCGAGCGCTCCCAGACGGGGAGATAGGATCGGAGAGCCGCCATTTCCTCATGGCATTTTGCTGGGTAAAGCTGGAAAGCGACTGCAACACAAGTCTTGTGCGTCCCATCGTGCTTATACACTGTTTTAGGGAAGGGAACGCAGAGGGGGGCAGTGCGGTTACCACCTTGGTCCATGAAGATGCACAGCCATGCCGGGCGATATGTCCTCGAGAGAGCCACGGTTACACAAACTCGGGCACGAACAGGCCGACTCTGAGGGGTAGTCTGACTACCCGACCTAGCATGGCTTTTCCTACTTCCAGCAAATACTTTGGGTATATATCATCTGGAGCACTCCAACGATTTGGACAGCAGCGTCGAAACTGCCTTGCCAACATCAGCCTTTGACAGTCTCAGTCCTGGAAGAATCACCATGTCCTCTGGAGAGTACGTAGCTGGTCCATCTTCGGCCTGTCTGAAACTCACACGTAAAACTAGGAATAAAAAGGAAAAATTCGTCCTTTCAGACGAGGAAGACCGCCCATATATTGTGGGTTCTCGTTCGGTAAGTCGTCCCAGCCAAGAGGTTGTCCGGTACTAACCGAGCTCACATATAGCAGCCGGGATTCCGCGTTGGAGATCAAGTCTACCTCTTGCTTTCTGATGGATCCCGAGATGGCCCTTACCTCGTGGCAACGGTCATCTCCGCGCAGGAGTGTACGCTTAGCCTCGAAAACGGCCAGAGTGTCGGGCACGGTGAGGTGATACCGATGGCGAGGCTCGAGGCTGCATGAGGGAGAAACAGTGACAGCCTCCGACCTACTCAATAGAAGCATTCCACGTCAGCAGGGGCATGGTTCGCCTGTGCTTGCAAAGAAAACGCCCAAAGGCATCTTGACAGCCCCGTTCTCATCGCATTTCTGCCCAACCGTGGTGCATGTCCTGATTTGAATCCCGCCCGATTATATAGCATCCTTGGTCTTGAGTCTCATGATGTGAAACGGCCAAGTAGCCCCATTTCCCGCACCTTTTCCACAGTAGGAAGACACGGTCTGTAATTGTTGCTGCGCCAGCGCTCTCTACCATCATGGGCGACCAGCATGCAGCAGCAGCAAGCCACTACGCCATCCTCATCGGCATCGATGCTTACCCAGCCGGACCCCTGACGAGCTGCGTACGAGATGTTCAGATGATCAGGAAATGCCTCGAGGATAAACTGAGCTCCGTCGACATGCAGATTTTGACGGCAAGTAAGAGCCCTGATCCAGAGATGGCCATGCCCCTTGAAGACCCGGAATGCTGGCCATCAATACGCAATGTGACTTTAGCTTTTGAAAGGATCACGTCTCAAGCAAAGTCTGGAGACTTCGTTTACATTCACTACTCTGGCCACGGGACCAGACTACCACCATGCTGGGACTTCTCGAACGAGTCAACCGGAGATTTGGCCTTGGTTCTCCTTGAGGAAGATCAAAGCTCACCGCCATGTCTCCGCGGACCGCAACTGGCCCGCCTTCTCAAGAACATGATAGACAAGGAATTGGTCATTACCCTTGTCCTGGACTGCTGTTTCTCGGCGGCCGTCTACCGCAAGAGCGACTGCAGTGTTCGATACCTTCCGTGCGGCCTCGAGGCGGCCTCAACGCCTTCACCGTGTCCGGAAGATGGCTTCACAGGAAGTGACACTCGTTCCACGAACCGCGCTGCGTCTATGCACGACAACTGGTTGCTGGAACCGGACCGGTACACCATACTCGCCGCTTGCGGACCTCACGAGAGGGCCACAACTGGCTCCGAGGCATCAGCGAAAGGAGTCAAATACGGTGCTCTGTCCTACTTCTTGTGCCAAACCTTGTCTGACCACGGACTTGGGAGGAGACACAAGCACATACACCGTCATCTATGTGCTAGGTTCCGGGAATCCTGCGTGGCGCAACATCCTGTCCTCTATGGAAACGCGGACCAGGGCTTCTTTGGTCAAGTGAGTCTGCTCTGCGGCGAGAGGTCCATCTGCATCATGGAACATGAAGGAAGCCTCCAGTTACTGGCCGGGCAGGCCCACGGTCTCCGCAACGGCGACCGGTTTACTGTGTATCGTCCAGGAGGCCATCGCCGTGCTGAGGACCGGTTCATAGCCAAGGTTGTCCGCGCCGGGGCCCTGACGTCCCAGTTGGAGCTGTTAGCAACCAGGCGCAATGTTCAGACGGGATGGGTCGCGGAACCATTGGCTTGCGCGTATTTCGCCGATTTCCCCATTCGACTGGCAGCCCATCTTCCGCGGCACGATGAACTGCTAGCAGCTCTGAAAGAACGGTCTCTAAGTACCAACATGGACAACCATCAAGTTCCGGCCCTCCAAGTCGTCCTGGGCAATACCGACGAGTACGAGATCCTGGACGACTCTGGTCGGAAGCTCATCAACGTACCGGCCATGCCGCGAGACCAGACGGGTATTCGTCGTGTCTGCGATGTGCTACAACACTTGGCCCGGTTTAGGATAGCCAAGGACTTGGTTAATCCGACGCCTACGGCTGCATTCCGAACGTCATTCGATGTGCACATAATCAGGGACAGCACGGCGTTCGGTCCAGGGGAACAGATAGAGGTGCGGCACAACAGCAGTGTGAAAGTGGCTATAAAGAACAAGGGAGATGCAGTTCTATATGCTTACCTGTATAGCCTTGGCCCGTGTTGGGGGGTCAAAGGGATCCTCCGTGCGACTTACCAAGCTATTCCTCCACGGACGGATCCTCTCAACGGCGACGTTGCATTCACGGGAATGGCTTCATGGAGCATAAGGATGATGATCCGTCCATTGATGATGGAGCATGGTTCATGCGAGGACATCATCAAAGTCTTGGTAACGTCCCAGCCAACATCGTTTGACTTGCTAGAGTTGTCCAATCTTGACGAGCTAGCGAAGATGGTTTCCGGAAGCAGGCTCAGTCATCCCAACAGCCACGTACCGGAGGACTGGATAGCATTGAACTTCCCTATCCGCACATCACTCTGAATGAGAGCTACGGGTAGCGTTCTGGTGGAGAATGTAACGGGCCAAGTCGCTTGAACGGCGGCCTCGTCGCCGTCTATCGCCAACTCCCCTCGCGGGAAGATGTAAGGCGCACCTGGACTGCCCTGATCTCTCCATACCGCTGCCCACTCCCACTTTGTCATCAAACCCATATTCATGCGGGTATGGAAGATGCCAATCGGGACCTTTGCTAGCTTCCACAATCCTCGATGGGTCAAACCGCGTTGGGTCGAGCTTTTTTCAACCACAATCCGTCGAGTAAGTCGATGGGACAGACAAGGCGAATGAAGCAGTCGTTGGCTCATCGTGAGCCGTTCCTATTGTGTGACAATGAGTTTTAGTTGGTAATGAATTGCGGTGCGTTCCTTATCGTAGTAAATGATGGTTCATGCACAACCCTGACAATACCTGTCCAAGCACAAAGCACACCTTTCAACGGTCGTTCCGCAACTCGCATTTCGTAGCCCCTTTAAGCTGAGTTCTGTTACCTTGACGCATCTTTCCAGTACACTTTTTCATACTCGTTTAGTGGGACAGCTTCGAAGCCGCAGTTAAGTCGGCCTGTTCTTTATTGTTGAGCGTTGGAACAGCCAGGAGAGTCACTTCGCACACCTCTTCGAGGTCCTCGAGTGCGTTCATCACGTACATGCAGGAGCCAAACGGGCACAGTTGGGCTTGATGTTGAGGATAGCCGGCCGCGGGCCATGCTGCATCTTTTGCTCCATGGCTCACCGGGAAAACAATATCATGACAAGCCGACGCCTCAACCAAAACTAAAAGGCTCAACGACCCAAATCTCCATTTACCTAGAACAGTCCTTGAAATACTCGGAAAACATGGCTGGCCTCGAGTAATTTTCAAGCTGCCGCTCTATTGTCGAATTATCCTTCAAGAGGAGAGTATATCAGAGGCGCAAGTACACCGATCCGAGCGTTGGGATAACTGGTTCTGTTTAACCCTCTCTGCCAACTTGGGGAAAGAGTGGTAGACTGGTGAAGTAGCATGTTTAAAGGCTCTCTGCCTTTCACCTAATCGGAGGAAATAGTGATCGCAATTGGAACCATGCGGTGGCAAAGAAGCCGCATTTATCTCTGTCCAATTCTCAGATTGGCTCCATCGCACCTGAAGGGCCGCATTCAACGGCAGCTGCAGTCGGGATTTCTAACATATCAGCGATACCTAAGCTGGCGTCACAAAGTTCAGCATGATCGGAGAGGTCGCCGGGCTCGTCGAGTTTCAAGGACTGACTGTGGAAGGATTTTGTAACATCAGAATGATTCGATTCCCAGGAGGGATTCTAGACCTGAAACTGGTGAGCTTATATGCTAAGCAATTTTTCCGTGTTCTTACGTTGGGCTTTCCATGACTCGCCTCTGGCCAATACGGCATTGATATATCAACAAGACTCGATACCATCATACACAATCATCTAGTTGCCCTCTTATGATATAAAGCCTTGTCTCGGAGATACCTTCCCCATTTCATCCGAAGTGATAACCCGGTTAGTGGGAGCCAGTCCTCGGCAAGTATCAGGATATCGTCGTGAATATGAGGGCTTTGCTCCACCCAGATTCAGGCGCATTAGTACGTCCGTAAAGCTCTGCCGTACAAAACGCATTTACTTAGCCCGTAGACCCGAAACATAGCGTCATACTCCCTGCCCTCAAAACTTGGCTCAATATACATCGCATCAATAGAGCCCTGCCCAAGGCCACCGGGGCGGGCCAAAGACTTCTGCTGGTCGTTCATGGTTAATTGGTAAATTATGTCGTGCTTGGCCCTTCAACAGACCCTAACTGATGTGCAAAGTGCAAGAAGTCCACGTCGATGGCAGAAAGATGACATCCCGTAGCGAGTCGGGCTGATGCCCTACCCTAGAGCTTGAAGGACCCAGCACTACGGACCACCCGAGAATCGTTAGTCCGTACTCCGTAGGTTCCTACGTACTGCGCTGCAGATGCCCCATCCGAGCCAGCAATCACGGCCAGAATGCGTTCTGGTGTGCGTGGCAAGTGGTCACTGGGCCTCAAGCTCAAGCCTGGTGACGATGCTCCATGGTTGGATGTGGGTGGCGCATGGCCAGCTCCAATCTCGCTTTCCAGAGGCCCACTTTATGGCCCAAAGCCATCAATCGATTCACCAGTTGACGACGGACTGGGCATTCGCCCATCAAATGGCCACCAGGCCCCGCCACAGCGCCTCAAGTGCCGGCGACGGAGGCACAGGCTCCGCTATTCGCCATCACCCGGACCGCTGTGGCCCAGTGGTCTCTCCCCACCCTCAACGCACCAGTTGACCAGACTTGACTTGAGTTCAACATTGAACCTGCTTCTCCAGACATATGCCTGGACCCTCTTTTGACTTCACTCCTCCACGACCGTCTTCTTATGCCACCCAAACCGACCAAGCTGGTGGCCTCAACCTTGTCCAGCGTTGCTCAGCCCTTTCAAACAGCGAACCAGCCCGACGCATACTCTATCCCAGCCTTCACCCTCACCGCCGCCGATCCCATGTCGTCAACATCTGCTCTCTAGCGCCCGATACATTGCCCGTCACATGCTGGTCGACCACCGAGGTGTTGCTGTCCCTCACGGCGCCTTATCAAAACGACAAAGAGCTTTGGGCAATCAACGTCTACCTATCTAGGTAGTCATTCCTATTTGGCTCGACTGTAAATAGGCCAAAAGTCCTCATTATCGACTACTTCACCCACGATACACACACGCATCTGGTCTGGTCCCGTCTCCAGCCCAGACAGTCACCATCGCCGCCTCTCCCGTCCTCGACTCTCTTCGTGACCGGTGTCTAGCCAATTTACAGACAAAATCGACTCAAACTGCCACCGCGGCTTGCCCGCGGAACGGTCGACGTGGACCAACCCTCCGACGCTCGTTCCCTTCACCCCATTGTCCCCTCTGACGACCCATCCACTCCGCCTAGCTATCGACAATCTGCCAGCAGCGTCGGCTCAGCACCCAACCCCTCCTCGCCGCTTGGTCGCCCTGGCCGATCCGCCCAACCAGCTCCGGCTTCGACTGTGAACATAGAATCTTCCACTCCAAGACCGGATCCGCCTTCCGGCTCGGTATCGCAGGTCCTCGGTAGGCGACGACGCCCGTCTGGCTCTTCTCCGATACAAGATCCCAACGACCCTGCCTCTGCCGACAACGAGGCTGCTCTATCCGACACATATTCATCACCTGGTCGTCGTCGTCCAAAAAGGAGGCGGCGAGTGGGCGAAGACATGGCGTCAGACGGCAATTCCGTCCTACAGTCTAATGGGAGCGGCGCCGCTCGCTCAAATGGATCGACTGGTGTTGCTTCTCAGAGGACTGTCTTGCCCAGTGGTGCGACTAACGGGACACACAAAGCAGCGTCTCTAGCTGCTAATGGCTCAGCAAATGGAGACAAAGCCTCTACGTCGCTCGTCCGACCCTCATCATATTTCGGACATAACAGAGAGGAGGTGACTCGAATTTTGATCCAAGCATTGTCAGACATGGGTTATCGAGCGGCTGCCGAGAGTGTGAGCGAGGAGAGCGGGTTCAAACTGGAAAATCCCACGGTAGCAGCCTTTCGGTCAGCTGTGTTGGAAGGCTCATGGGTTGAAGCGGAAGATTTGCTGACGGGAGCTACTGTGGCAGGACAGGCTGGCGAGGATGGCGGTGATGGAAATGGGCTTGTACTCGCGCCAGGCTCGGACCGAAATGTTATGAGATTTGCCATGCGTCAGCAAAAGTTTCTGGAGCTTTTGGAAACCAGAGACACAACTCGGGCACTCCAGGTTCTGAGGGTAGAATTAACGCCGCTAGACCACGACACCGCAAAAGTGCATTTTCTTTCCAGCCTCCTAATGTGTCTTTCAACAGAGGACCTGATGGCCAAGGCAAACTGGGATGGAGCAGGGGGACAGTCACGCAAGAGGCTGTTGTCAGAGCTATCAAGTGAGTGCCCAAAAATGTTACAAGCTATTACCTGGTTGTGATATGTAGACGCTAATCCCGCTTGCTAGGGTGTATCTCGCCATCTGTCATGCTTCCCGAAAATCGCCTAGCTGTTCTCCTGCACCAGGTCAAGCAGAGTCAGATCAACTCCTGCCTTTTCCACACCGCGGCATCGTCGCCTTCGCTGTACGCGGATCATCACTGTGACAGGCGAGTCTTCCCCAGAGATATCGTGCTGGAGCTCATCGAAATGCGAGGAGAGGTGTGGGAGGTGCAATTTTCTCACGACGGGTCGCAGCTTGCCGCCTGTGGATCCAGTGACAGTGTCTTTATATGGGAGACGTGGTCATTCCAAGTTGTACACGCCCTCAGCATGCAGGTTCAAAAAGATCACCATTCCGGCGTAGCAAGTATTGCGTGGAGTCCGGATGACTCGATGATGGTGACCTGTTCGCAGGACCATTTTGCGCGATTATGGGATACTAAGGTAAGAGCCCATTTCACCAATGTCACCCATTCTCAGCGGCAACTAATAAGAGCATAGAATGGTCAATTAATCAAGAAACTGAAACGGTTCGACGAACCTGTCAGTGGGTGCATCTGGGCGAGTGACAGCAAATCCTTTGTCCTCGGCACCCTCGATAACAAACGGAGCATTTGTACATTCAACAGTGAGGGCGAAGAGTTGGTCCAGTGGGACAAGAAGCATCGTGTGCAGGCCATTGCTGGGTCTCCCGACGGACGGTGGCTTGTAGCGGCGGACAACTTTACCAACATGTACGTGTACAACGGAATAACAAGAGCACTGGAGTATGAACTGGATTTGGGTGCCCAGCCGATATCTCTAGCCATCAGCCAAGATTCCCGGCAGCTGCTTGTCAACAAAGGGGACAGCGAGGCGCAGCTCGTCGACTTGTTCACGAGAGCTACGGTACAGAAATTCCTTGGCCATATGACGGACCAGTGCGTCATCCGCGCTTCCTTCGGCGGAGCCAACGAGAGCTTTGTTATGAGCGGCAGCGAAGACGGAAAAGTGGTCATCTGGCACAAGAATATAGGGGCTGCTGTCGAGAGGTTGTCCAGTTTTTCCGGCAAGCGGTGCAACTGTGTGGTTTGGAACCCGGCCGATCCATACATGCTCGCCTCATGTAATGATGACGGAAAAGTGCGAATGTAAGTCGAGCCAAAACTAACACTTTGCCACAAATTTTGAATATCTTTGAGAAGCTAACAAGAGTCGTAGATGGGCAAACCGCAAGAGAGGCGTGGATATCAGGTCTAGGATACCCGGATTGACGGGGTGGAAACACCATCAAAATGAACCCGTGCCGTTCTAGGCAGGGAGGGCTAGTGGACATTGACCCTAGACTTGGTCATTCAGCGGTCCCCTTCAAGTAGGCGGATATACTACGAGCTGTTCTATTTTGTTACATCTTTTTACTCCACATTCTTCTTGGTTTAGACACTTTACCATGACGACAATAGAGAAATGCACACAGGACGGGGGGTCGGTACGCATTTTCATCATCATATTTGGTCGGTTTCGTTGAACTATGGCTTTTCGTGGCTCCAGCCTGGATCAGTCTACAATTTTTTTTTTGTTGGCCATTTGATTCCATAAGAAGGGACTTGTCTTCTTGATCGCCTTTTATTTCTATTTTCATCTTATTGGTCACCACTCCGCTCTCTTTCGTCTTTGTCCGGTTCGCTTCGCTTCACCTTTTTCCGGCGTTGTAGCGTTGGGCGGGGGGTGCGAAGAAGGAGAGAGCCATGTCTCATCTGTCGGAGCGAATACCTGCAGGATTGGGTTGCCGGATGGAAGGAGGGCTGTTTTTTTGTGCAAGGTTACATGTAGACTGGGACAGCCCTTGACTTGGTGCATCACATCTCCAGTTCTGAAAGACAAAACGCAGAGAAAAAAAAATAAGCGATTCTAAATATACCGTGTGAACTTGCATGGCGGGCTCCGATACCACTGGTTGCGAAACACGTCCTGCTTCTTTTGTCGGTGAGGCGAGTGATATTCCAAGGGGGCAATGCGTTCCCGATCAAAAGGGATCACAAAATCCGGGGTACACGCAACATTAGAGTTGGGCGCAGATGCAAGATCAAGGGAAACCTTGTCGTGCGTGTGCAGCAACCCTTTTGGAAGCAACATATCCCAGGTTCAGGCAAGCATGTTTGGGTAAGGCGTTATCACAGGGACGCTTTGTCGAGGCAATGACACCGTTCAGGGTATGGTGGTCCAGGTCGGCATTGAAGGGGGCGTGGGCGGGCACATGCATGGAACGGTGAGCCCGAGCACATCGAAAGAGCTTGTCGGCTACAATAATTTTTTTTTTTTTTTTTTTTATTTTATCCTAGGGTCTGTGTCTCTTTTGAGGCTGATAAAAAGGTTCCTTGGCGTCTGCCACAGCGGACCAGACTTGTGCCGGATCGACGCAACATTTGAAACTTGGCACGGGTGGTGTGGCGTAGTGTCACATCGGCGCGTCCTTGTGCGTGTCAGGACTTGCCCTCTCTGGAGATGTGGCCGGCTTGAGGCGTGGACTAGTTTGCTTGTTTGTACGATTCGTTGACGAAATGGAGGCGGGTTGTTGCGGATGCTAGCGGCGGTGAGATCCGATGTTGGAAACGCTGAAAACAATGCGTACCACAAGGCCGAGGCCAGCGACGGTCCGGTGGAGGACAAGCGATGGCGCCTGAGTTTCCTGCCATGTCGCCCTTTGCCGAGGTTGCCATTGGAATGTAGAGGTTATTTCCGTTTTTAGCTTCTGGCCCGTGATCCCTCCAGCTGTCAAATAGTCAGTCGATCTTGTCAAAAGTTGCCAGGTTGGAAATGGCTTCTCTCTGTACGACGCGGAGCACAGGTCCAGGGCTACCAAGTTGGCCACGGCTCCGGTACTCCGCGTACTCCAACCAGAGTTCCAGTCATGCGGGATGGGATGGAGGTCCGGACCCTAATTTGATCCGCTAAACTGCCCAGCTATTGGAGGGATTTTTGTATTTGCCGGTTGTTCCTGGTGACAGCACCGATCGCATTGCATTCAAGGTTCCGGGCCAAAACCAGGAGGAGGATCTTGACCGCCAAGGCCCGTCGTACCTGCATGCAAGCGAATCAACCACAACGTCTCGAGTTGTCATCTGATGAAAGCTGCCAAGCTGCTTGCTCTCACTCGGGCAGCCGGCTTGTCAAGATCCATGTCGTCCGACGACATGTCCGAATGGAGGAGACATCAGTCAGTCCCTACTGCAGCGCCAAAAATACGCATGAAAGACACCTCGCCAGCCAATACGTACTTCAATATATCCGAGATGATCCGTACACAATATGCAAAAGGCTGGCGCCTCAACCAAGCTATTGGGCCGCCCATACCGATGGTCCAGAGATAGTTGGCCCTTGCTTTCAGCCTCGGGGACTTGGACCAGGTCGACGACCAAGGAGAAAGGGAACCAGGCCCGTATTGAGGGGCTTGAAAGCAAAGTATTGGTAGGCTCTGGTCCCCCCATCGTTCGCGAGTTCAGAGCACGCCAAGAGATTCCTACGGTCCTTTTTTTTAAAAAAGAAGAACGGTCTGGGGCAAGTATGACTAGAGACATGGGGCATTTGTCACTCGTCTGCAGCATCTCCACCATTTTCCACCATTTCCAACATGCCTTGAAATGCACAATCAGTCCCAAGCATTTCACCGCCCAGTTGAAAAGGCGAATGAATATGACATGACTAGCGCAGACGTGCCCCCTGTTCTTCTAGAACCCCTGGATTGCTTTTGTTCCACTAAACGGCCCGCATGCGCAATGATGCAGGGGTTGAAGAAGAGGCGCAAATGATGACAGTCCGGGCAATGGAAATTTGAAGCCTCGACCGTACTCTGTGGAAGTATTCCAGCGTCAGAACATATGATTATAAGTGCATGCGGGGTGATGACGGCGGCGGCGGCGGCGGCGGTAGTAGTAGTTGTTGTTGTTGAAGTTGTAGTAGCAGTAGTAGTAACAGTAGCCGCAGTGACTTGGCACGTCACAATAAAGTTTCACCGACTAGAACCGCATGCGGCCAAGACCTCGTTCTGACCGCTGGCCTTGATCGGTAACACGGAGGTTGCTGCATGAGCTCTGTACCGAGTACATTGCCGGAATACGCTGTAAATGATGACCTCTGCGAGCAGTCGCCACTCTTCTTCCCCTTCATCTCGCCTGGCAGTCATGGACCAACGTAAACTGCGCTTATCACGCGAGCACAGCGTCAAGACCATTGCGGAAACCAACCAACCTGGTCCCTGCCGGATCCGAAGAGACCCATAGCGTCGGAGAAGGTATTGCAAAATAACATTTGACTTCAAAGAATGGGAGAGCCGGAGCAGAAGTTCGTTGGTTGCATGGAATCTGCCTTCATGCCGCGGTCGCCCGTCTTGACCGTCTCTTATCATGGAGAAGGGGAGCTGAGCCAGTTGAGAGCTCAATGTCTTCCGGTGGAAAATGCGGTCGTAGTCATGGCCTCGCAGCAATGAAAGCAGCACTCGAAGCTCAGCAGTACCACGAGTTGACCCGCAGTTTCAGATATCTTGCGGAAACAGAAGACGGAGCCATCGGCCAACCAAAACATCGACGGACCTGCGATTGCATTCGGCTTTGACCCTTTTGATTAGCGACCAGCAACATAGAACCGCCCAAGATACAACATTGCCGCAGATTGAGAATTGCGCATTGGCTTCTCAATCGACCAAGTCAACATATTTCCTCCTCTGTTTACTCCGTAGCTCGCCCAGATGCTTTAGTGCCCTCGGGTAGGGGCCAAAGTGGCAGAATATAGTTACTTGCATCCCGCACCGAGGTTTTTGCCTTTTCGTTCCTGCGCGCATCGTGAACACTGCGCTATCCATTGGCCCGTTCCAATACTTTGGTAGATATCGACTCCCCTGGCGCCCGTTGACACAACGACCGGGCCGAACGTCTTGACCGTTGGCTTACGCCACAGTCGTCAGCTACGTTGTGATGATCGGCAGAGGTGGTGTGTACGTACGGGATAAGAAGACCGGCATATCCGTTCAAGTGGCCACCACAATGACCCGCATGGTGTGGCGGCAAACGGGGTACAAAGTACCCTATGATTGGGGGAATAATGATTTGGAAAACCAGGCGGACCCGAACAGAGGGTTGCTTTCCAGAACATCAAGATGACAGACGCCATGCTTGAGACTTGATGTTTCTGGCCTTGGCCCCAGTACAACGCCAGCCAACGCCAGACAGTATTAAATGGTATCATCAAGTGCATTTGTGCAGGGAGCAGGTACTTTTCTGCCCCGGATGACCCCCCAATCTTGTAAGTTCAACCCAAGGGCGGGTGGTCTCTGTGCCATGTCGACGGTCTCTTGCCCCGAAGAGACATATCAGACGAGGACTTTGAGTGACTTAGGATATCTGCGCTATCGCGAGGAGAATCGAGCCAGAGAACAGCCCTTCACTAGCTATGCTGAAACAAAGTTCATAATTCTGTTGGTATGAACGTTTCGTACCGTCCACCGTCCAGCCAGCGGACTAGTGACGAAATGGTGACAAGAGCCAAGAGTGGCTTCTTGCTGGTTGTCATGAATAGACATGATGAGCTGTACCATTGACCTTGGTCTCGGAGCGCCTCCCCATTCGCCAAAACACACCGTTCTCCTGTTTCATGAATGCATCCCGAATCCTTCGCGATATCAGGCATAGCAAAGTGGCCGGCTAGGATTCATTCCCGCTTCGTGCATCTCCCACGGATTGCATGTCAGCACGCGCGATACTGCACACACGACTGGATACATAATATACGTGTCGTCCGGCGATGTTAGAGTGCAGTTCCACGCATATTAGATGTAAACGGATGCAATTGTTTTGCATGCGTTAGCGTGCGACGCCACGGTTGTCCTGCGCAAAGGGCAAGGGTACCCAGGCAGGCTGGTCAGCGGAATAACCATGGCCTAATCGGCGTCACACTATGAGTTGTCGCTCTCATTTATTGATCCCGCGATGCGAAGGCAAATATCCATCAGGATCAGGTAGGAAGGCTATTTAGGGACCTATTATTTGTAAATGTAGTTAGTTGCTTCCCGTCTTGAGAACGCCAGTCACGGGACGACTGTTATCGCCTGCCAATATGAAGAGTGCTCATGTGGCTTTGTGGATATTAACTTGAAGTTAGCTAACTCCGTAGGTTGTAGTACTCGTGTCTGTGTGTCCCGGGTCCCTGGCCGGCCCGTCACCATGGTCAGTGCAAGGGCTACAGCAATAATTGCATAGCAGTCGAGCTCGGATCGAAGGACCGTGTACTCGGCTTGTTCATCCTACTTGTATCTCTGCCCATCAGAGCTTGCGTCAGCAAAATTGTACCCTGCGAGTAGCAAATTGAACAATGCTTGCAGCAATGTGGCGTCTGAGGGTATTGGCACAGTATTGCATGAAAGCGGATATGCATCTTGTAACATTAAGCCCCAGAGCTCAATTCCGAAGTCTTTCGCATGAGACGCCAACATTCTTCGGTACGGAGTATGCTAGGGGAAACTACTTTGCTTCTCATCCTGTACGACAATTTCGTGGGGGAAAGGATGTGCGTGCCCATGCCAGTTTGTCCTTGTTGGTAGATATGCCGTCTGTGCATTCATATGCCGCTTGATAAGAGCCGAGGGATTGGGGGAGGATTTTTCTTTTCTCGTTATTTCTCCCCTTGGCTGGCCTCGCGGGCTGTACCACGATCCGAAACACGCGGCCAGAAGCGAGTGCCTTGGCGACAAGATGTCTGAGACTTTGAGTTCTCAGGAAGGCTTCAATAGGACGGGGTGGCGGATTGGACACTTGGCTGCAGATGCGATGCGGGTTTAGAAATAGGGAATTTGAGAAAAGAGTTGTGTACGCATTCTAGCCTGTTGAAGTCTGGTGCATGCACAGAGTTGTGTCAAGAAATCGAAGGCTGGCGTACTTTTGACTTTGCACTTGGACAGGTCCTGTTGAGTCGGGCACTCCGTTGTTCCCGACGCGGGAACAAGTTGTAACCCGGTCGTGCCTTCCCACCTGCCAGAGACATGGCCACCAAAACCAAGCATCCAACCAGTTGACCTGAATTGAAGTACGAACACTTAGTAAGCGCTTGCTTCAGGTTCGCGATGCAAACTGCAAACCAGACTTGTCCCAACGACCTGAGGTTGATTGGGATGTAACATCAACCCTTTGAACTTGGACCTCAAACCTCGCGCGCCCCCCCCCCCCCCCTTCTCCTCTCCGATGCCCTCGTTCGCCTCCTCGACTAC